ATCTCTTTGCCAGTATCCAAAAAGGAAAACTGTGTTTTAAAACCTGTTTAAAACACGTTTTCAAAACCAGCTTTATGTAGCTCATGTAGAGTTTAAAGCTGGATATTTGTGTGCTCCTTTGGGATAAGACTTGGACCATCCCTCCAGTAGAATTGTGTTGTAGAAGAATTGCATGTGTTTGTTACTGTGCATGCTGTAGCAGCGTGGGTATGTGAAAAAGGAAGGGAGGAAAAGACAATCCAGATCCAGTTCCATCACATGGTTTTTGTGCCTGTTTGCAGCAGATAGCCATGGAAATGGTTTTGGTGTGGCTATCAGAAGGTGATTTGTATCTTACCCYTCCGTGCTAATTTAATGCTGTTGTTTTCTCTGTCTGTTCTTGTAACAAAATAGAAGTACTCTGCTGTCTCTCTCTGCAACATATCTACAGAAGTCCTGAAAGTCATCAATGCCACTGAAGAACTGATAGCAGAATCCACTGATCCCTGTGATTTCCCAGATGACATTCAGGACAGAGGAAGAGAAACCCTCCCACTGGGCACAGATCCTGTCAGACTCGATGAGCAGCTCACCACACTGGAAGAAAACGTAAGGACACGAATCGGTTTGTGAGAGTCACATGTGAGTGAGTGCAGCTGTGTGTGTGCACCAGCTCGAAAGGCAAAGCACGTGGGCAGCATCCGTGGATGTTCACAATTAATCTGGGGTTTTTAAACAAATACACAAACAGAATGAGAAATGGTATTTCAGCAGTGCTTAACTGTGTTGGTGGGTTTTTTTTTTATATGTGGTCTAAAATATTGASGGGTGAGGGAGTTGGATGCTTTTTGGTTTACAACTAAATTTAGAAACTCTTATCTCAAAAGCTCACTTACACCCTCCAAACCTCTGCAGCTGGGGGGCTACGCCACACCTGGCTGAAAGTACACATCTCCCAGTCCCAGCACAGCCTCATCACTCCAAGGAGAGTGGGGAGAGCATGTCCCCAGTCACTCAGAGAAGTGGAGAAGCTCTTCCTTCCCTCACACATTTCCAGCACACCGTGCTGAGCACCCAGGGAGCTGGAGCTGCCTCCTGCGCTGTTAGAAAGAGCAGGCTGGAGAATCTGAAATAAACATTTGTTTGGCCACATCCATCCTTTTTCATGAGTACCTGTCATCTGCMGGAGAAAGTACAATGCTGAATCATAGAAGGAAATCATTACTTGTTGGAAATTTTTGTGAATCCACTTAATGGAGTTGGTACACTTGGAACTTTCGATTTTCTCTTCTTTCCATATTTAAGTGATTACATTTCAATGATCTTTCCCTTCATTAGGAGCTCTTAAAGATCTCATAGGAATCTGCACTGTTCCATTATGCCATCCTGATCAATTCAGGAAAACAACTCCAGTTTTCTTTAGCCCCAGATAATTTTCAGACAGAATCTCCTCTTAGGGGATAAAATCAGTTTTCTCCRCAGAAACACATTTCCACAGCAGCCCCAGCCTATGAACTGAGGGGAAGATWTTTTATGGCACTAAAAGCCAGTCCTGGCACTGGACTCTGTCTCATGAAATACTGATGTATGAAGATGTATGAAATGAAGGTATCGGCTCAAGAATCTGCTTCAGATCYTGTTTGCTTATCCTTTGAAMCACARAGTCAGCCACAGCCATGTTTAATTYATGCTGGGTTTGTAGCAACATGTCTTTACTGCTATTACAATGGGGAAAATAAGAATATTTATTTCATTTCCACTGGGCTGTTACCAGCCTCATGGAAACAAGTCTCTTGGCTAACAAGTAAATAGGCAGRAAGTGCAGTATTGTCATGTGTTTCTGCACAATTTTGAGCACAAATGTCAAAAGCTAATGCTTGAAAATTACCCTTTTCCATAAACCAGTGACCTCCATCAAGCCATGTACCTTAAGGTATTTGTGAAATAAAAGAAACAGTAAAATGCAGTGTATCACTAATTACTGCTCTGAGGAGCTGTAAGGAAAATGAAACCTTTAGCTGTAGTTWCAGGTATCAGAGGTGGGCCAAAATCGTAAGAGTTGTTCATTTTTAGGGAGGAACTCTGAATTACAAAGTCAGTAATTCTTTCTTAAGTGGCCCAAGTAAATCCATTGACAGGTTCACCCAAAGGCCCAGGAGGTGGGAAGATTTTGGGTGAGAGCAGGATGGGATGGCAATTCATTTACTCTATAGGAAGCTAATATCTRTTTGCTGCTGAGCAGTTATGCATGCAGTTTTTCCTGCCAGAAGGCATTAAGTGGGTTTTAAGAAACACAGCTTTATGTGAGGCATGATCTGTTGACTTCTCCTTGTGGAATTAGGGGGTTTGTTATGTGATTGAATATCAGTAATAAAAAAAAAAAAAACAACAAAATTCTCAATTTTTTTCTTTGCCAATCAGTCTGGAACAAATCTGGTTTGGAATACYATTGTAGCACCTATGAAATCGGTAATGCAGCCAATCCCGTTCATCCCTTCTCTTTGTGGATGTGTATTTTTCAGATTATTTCYCCATTACTTTCCTCTGCCAATTAGATCTCCCTGTGGTGGGCTAGCAAGCAGGGAGGCTCGCAGGTAGGGTGGAAAATGCAGTGTGCTCAAAGATGCACACCCACAAAGCAGAAATCACTGATAACCTGTCCCTGCCTTGGCCCTGCAGGTGTACCTGACAGCCAGCACGGTGTATGGGCTGGAGGGGCAGCTCTCCAACCTGGAAGACGCCGCACGCAAAATCAACAGCGTCACTGAGGAGTCTGAGCTGGCCGATCTGGAGGATCAGGTGGCCACTGCAGCTGCCCAGGTTCACCATGCAGAGCTTCAGGTGAGGACAGCAGCTCCTCCCCRTCTGCAGGTTCCACACTGCCTTGCYTAATACYCACCTCACAGCACACACTTRGAGTAKTCTTTYGTACTGCCRTGCCCTGATGATTTAAGGATGCTGAGCTGTGTAACTCAGCCCGGCCAGAGGTGCTCTGTCTGTACTGTTTGTTTGTGCCCTCGGCTTGGTTTTGGACACAGGAGTGCAAATACCAAGCTGGGCTGCTCTTTGCTGCCAGGCAGCTCCCAGGGGTGCTCCGTGTCATGCACATGGCCCCAGTCAGACTGCAAATGGAGTCTGAGGCACCTTATCTAATCAGCAGCTTGGAAAGCATTTCCCAAAAGAAGCCAGCATTGGCAGCTTTCCACCAGCAACAGGCCAGCAGCAGCCAGAGGCTGAGCCAAGCACAGAGCTGCGTGCCTGCCCTGGGRTTTAGGTGCTAACAGCATCCATCCCAGCCAAAGGCAGGAGCTCGTGTGCACTGTCACCCTGCACCACTCTAGCAGGCTCCACAAAGTCCAGGGCTCAGAACACTTTGTGATCTGGTGCTAAAAGCTGAACGAGATAACGCTGCYAGACCTCAAGGGGCTGCCACTGCAGCTCACTGCTCAGTCTGTACCCAGCAAGACACCCTGACCTGCCTGTGCCAGGGTTTARTGGGATGTACCGGGTGGTTTTACTCAGTGGAAACATGCTCAATTCAGATCTGAGAGCTTGATCATCTCTCTGATGCCAGAAGTGCATTGCTGCACTATTTGATGAACCRGCAGTGGTGTTTTGTTGGCTTTGGTCATTTTTTTAGGGTAAATCTGTCAGTGGGGGTGAGAGGTGAGGAGAAGAGAGGCCTAAGTTATGCAGGGAGAGCAGTGGAAGATCTGCAGAGTGCAGCCAACTCTGGCTTCAGGTGTCACTGTGAATCAGGAGCCAGGTTATGTGTCTGACTCCYCTGGCTCTCACTTTTGTCAACACTTGGCTCCCCTACTCTCAATACCAGACTACTTTCCCCRGGCAATTTRTTTTCCATTCAGTATTTTTATATASTGTRCRCTTGCATTTATGCATGCTTGTGTTTAATATGCATATACATTGAAACCATAAATATTTAAGATTGTTTAGATTTTGTGACAGAGGATGTACTTTGCATGTATAAGAAATGAATTATGAGATAGGAAATGTGTCCCACAAAGTCATTCTTTGAATGTAGCTTTTTAAAAACACAGCTTGAATGAATTTGGGATTATGCAGCTAAAGGTAATTGGGAGATAGCAGATGGAGGTTTTCTCTCCTCCTTTCTTTTTTTCCTCAAAAGGAGTAAAATACCTCTTCCTTGGAGTCACAAGGTAGGTTGGATTGTTCTTTTACTCCATCTTTACTAACAAATTAAGCCCCTTTTAATGTCAGGAATAAAGAATGCAGGAAAGTGTCAGAATTRCTGAAGAAGTTAGCAATCTGTTTTTATTTTCTTATTAAAGAGGATTTTACTGGGGGAGGGTTRTATTTTAGTAGTGGCATCCACAGTAATTTTAAAACTTCTTTTCCCCCCTCCCCATCTGTCTGTCTCTCTCTTTTATTTTCTTTGAAGATTTCAGATATTGAGAGCAGAATATCAGCTCTCACTGTTGCAGGCTTGAACGTGGCTCCCTGTGTTCGCCTGACAAGGAAACGGGATCAAAAGCAAACAAACCAGGTGCCAGAACATTATGTAGTATTCAAAAATACRTTGGGGAAATCTTGCCTCTTTCTCTGTAATGGAGTTGAGTAATGCATATGTGTTGTTTGCAGATGCATACAATAGACACATCAAGACAGCAGAGGAGAAAACTTCCAGCTCCACCAGTAAAAGGTGCGCTTAAACTGTTACATAAATCAGAGAGAGAGAGACTCTCTTTATAAGACTGAATAGAATTAACAGTTCASCAAAGCAGGGAAAAGTTTTAAGTTACCAAATAAACAGAGAAAACCTAATAGCTGTCCCATCCTCCTCATTTTCCATGTACTTCCATTATATAAAATATCCCTTTGTCACATTAAAAAGCATTACCACTTACTCTTCAGCGAAAGTTTTGGCAAATAAACAGGAGCAGARGCAGAAGGCTGGGAAAAGCAAATGAGGAATGCTGAATATTTGCCCTGCAGGAAAGGTGTTGCTGCTCCAGCGTGGCTGGGGATATTTTGTGAGACCCAAGTGGTCGCAGTGCTTTATTTACCAAAAATCAGTTACCACCCTCCCCAACCCACCACCTCCATAAAGTCTGTATTTGCTGATTTCAGTCCAYGTGAAGTGGCTCAGCAATGTTCCTGCTATGTTAGGGAATGGCTGTGAATTGGCCTAATAAATTAAAGTGGGTTTTTTCTTTCAAATTTTTGGTGGGTTTTTGGTTTTTTTTTAAACTTTCCAGTGTGTTATCTCTGACAATTCTATGGCTTGGTTCACTTGGCATTATTCTTTTTTATTCYACTGATTGACATGGCCTCAACCTTTAATAAATTTGGAGTACCACAGCCTGCTGTTTTTAATTTAAATTAAATCCAGCTTTCCTCATACATCTTAGGGGAAGTTTTATCTCCCTAGAAGCTGTGACTCTTCAGAAGTATTTTTATATCTGCTTGAATCTCTTATGTGAAAAATCTCCCTTTCTGTATTTTYGCCAGGTGAAAAAATAGATGGTTCTCCAGTTACCACTGTCAGAACATTTAACAGAAACTTCATGCTTCAAGGATCTCTAACACAAAGAACTAAAGAAAGGAAAAGCACTGCCAAGGACTTAATGGTAAATTAATGTTTCTAAAACTCTGTTAAAAGCAGTTAAATAGACAGATAGCAGTATCTGTGTAGGCATCTGTGTTTCAGCATCTGCGGAARTCTTCTTTTGATAATTTGAGGAAAAGAAATAGAGACTGCTGAGGCAACTCTTGAATAAATAGGAAAATTTTTGAAATTTTCTGGAAAATGTCTGMCTATATACTATAGAGTAGCAGCTCCTGAATGTCAGCTTGTGATAATAAAGCCTGGCTGCCAGGTCTCCAGGAATGTGCTACTCTTAYTTTTTAAAGAATAAATAAATTAGTTGTCCCCTGCATTTCAGACTTCTGAATCAGACCCTCACAGAACCATCTGCACATTGTAACTTGGCGGGTGAGAGTCAACCTTGAATATCACTAATTGTTGAGAAATTTTCAAAGGTTACCTAAGTGGAATTTAAGGGGTAGACAGGTCACACGTTGGCTCTGCAGGGTTTGAACAAAGAGGCTTCACTCAGAACACCCAGGACAGCTTCAGTCATCTCTTCTGCAGCAGCCATAGCGGGATAAGGAAAAAAGCTGACTGTCCCAAAGCAGTCTGCCACAGGATATGTGGGAAATAGGTAGGGAGGTGAGAAGGGGAAGGATCTGGCTCTGTTCTTCAGCAGGCTTGTTTAGTCCTTCACTCATGTTTTATTCTTTCTTGTCCCTCTCTGTTTTAGGAACCTGCTATAGGATCTGCTGTGATGTACTAAACTTACACTTCCCTACTGCCAATAACACACTGCCTAAGGCTGTACACTAGAGTGCCTTTTCTTAACAGCCATTGTGTATGTCCAGCTGAAAATGGACCCTCAAGAACCCACAGAGCCTCAKATATAGGGCTTCATTTGGATACCTCACTGAGAAAGCTGTCCAAGTCTTCAGCATTGTGGTCTGCTCCAGGAAACTCTGCCTTAAAGCTCTCAGAGGACTCTAGACAGGATGCTGAGTTTCAAAAGCAAGGCTCCACATTTTAAGATGCACTTTTTCTCCCTATCGATTGTACTAAAGTATGTCGTCTTTAAACTGCAGTATGTTTTTGTACACTCAGTCATAATTATAGGCCAATTAATCTGCCAAAGCAGACCTGTGATCCATATTTGCTGGCCTCTTACTATTCATGTGGGCATCTGTCTTGTCGAGCAATAAGAACAACTCTGTGCAGTGTGTGCTGCTTTTCAGCTGCTTGGAGGGAGAGGAGAATCTGTGGGCCTCACCCTGCTCCCAGAGAGTCAGTGGAAGTCTTGGAGGGTTGGTAGGAGGAGGAAGACTTCTCTGTTCACRGAGAGTACATTTCACAGGTTGATTGTTCCAGCTCCAGAGCTAGGGATGTTGCTCCAGGCAGCAGGGGTGTCATCCTGAACCAGRAACCAGTGGCCACACATGTGGACCAGGTGTCTGCGGTGTTATGATCCCAGCATCTGGAAACATCTAAACACTGTTAAAGAAACCAGCACCTTTGTATGGCTCGTTCTTCTTGGCAGCATTGTCCACTTGGTGGTGGCCAGCCATGCTGTAGTTCAGAATAAATTCTGTCCAAAMCTTTAGATTGGAAAAAGGAAGTAAAAGCATTGGGGATGAGATCTCTGTTGACTGACTGGAGGTTGTAGGGTGGCTGCAGYTTGAAAGAGATTCCTTTCTGATGTTCACTGGTGTTTCTGAGAAGGAGGCAAATGTCGCCCAGACATTAGTTCCTATAGTGGTCTTTAGCCACCAGGGGAGTATCTGGGGCCTGTTGCTGGTGCCACATGCACCCCGCTACCCTTGGACAACTCTGAATTGAATTGTGAATAGTAATATTCCTTCTTTCATTTCTTGAGACYTTTAACAGGTGAGTCAAACTAGAAGGCCCTTTGGCAGATGCCCAGGAGGGAGGATGCTGCTTACAGGGTGTCCCTCTCACCCTTTTGTGGGAGAACATTGCTAATTTGTGGTATTTTGTGCTCTGAAGAATACAAAGGAGGTAGTCAGAGGAGGTGATGAGCCAGTGAATCCCTTACCTTCCATAGCAGTTGCAGAGCAGGTACCCAAGTGCAGATAGGGTTGATGTGAAATGTGCTATGAAGGAAGGCATGGGCTGGCGAGTTCCCCCCAGCATTAAGGAGCGGGGAGCTCTCCCAAGGGCTGTGGGTACCAGGAAGGAGGAGAGTTCCTTCTTTCCCTGAGCTCCCAAAAAACACCCACGAGCAGAGTGGTACACGTTACCTGCCATGCAGCAGGAAAGCAGTTCCCTAGGACACCAGGCCATGAAATGTCTGTGGTTGGGCAAATACAAGCAAAACTGGGAAAATTTCCTGACTAGGCTGGATTTAGGGGGGCAAGTGGGGAAGACAAGGAATGGCTGGATAGGTTGATTGGAAAAAACAGTGCTAGCTGCAAAATCTGCCACCCACATTTGACATCAAGCTTGTCAGTACTCTGCATGTGAGGAACCCTTGGAATAAATACAAYCATCTTCCCACTCASAATACATGTCACTCCATCCCTTCAWGGAATTTCCATCTGCCCAAGATCTGACCCAATGTGTTCATTCTGGGTGAAATTAGGCCTTCTTTTACTCTCACACAATACTAGTTCTCTGAAATTGGTTTGCACAGATGTGAGGGAAGAATTTGGCCCACTCTGTTTAATATATAAATATATATATAAAATAAATAGATTTTATTTATATATGCAATCCAGTAAAGGAGATTAAACAGAGTAGGATGCCTTGTAATTTTTTTTGTTAATTCAATCTCCTCCTCCATTGACTGTTCTCGTGTATGTATACAATACATTCCCAGGTTCTGGTTTTATGCAGGTATGCGTGTTATGAAAYGTCATTAATGGTGGTTGGTCTGCATATTCGTCTAATAAATAATAACTAATATTGTGTATGTAATATCAATACAGAAATGACTAATTTTAATAGAATAACTCTTTGGCTTCTGTTCTGTTAGTGTGATTTAAACAAGCCAACGAAGTTTGGAGTAGGTTGTTTTCCTTAAGAGGCATGAAAAGCAACTATAATCGTGTTACAATGTTAAAATATTCAGTCTTCTTTGACAGAAAAATGTGTACTGTGTAGGCATTGCAAAAAAAAAAAAAAAAAAAAAAAAAAAAAACCTTAAAAAAAAATCTCACCTGCTCTAAGGCATTTGAATTTTTACAAATGTTTATTGTGCCAAATACGTGCAAAGATATAATTTACTGTTTTAAAAAAAATCATAAAAGCATATGTTATAGCACACAAAGAATTATTTTGTCATCAAGTGATTTCAATCTTTAGTGTTAATATTTATATTTAGATTAATTTTTATAAATGAAAATATTTTAATGGGTAAAATGAAGACTATATGACCTATTTGATTAAGTCTGAGTGAATATTAAGCTTGCCTTGTTGTTGTTATCTGCATACTCACCAAGAATTATTGTCAGGAGAAATTATAAAAGAGTAAAAGCGATTTATGAAAAGAATGCCTTTTCAACGACTTGATTCATAAAGAAAACCAAAAAGTTCTTCTCTGTTGTTTGGATTTATGTGCACTTTGGTCTGGAAGTGTGCAGCACCCACAGCCACACACGGTGCTCAGGCACTGCCTGTCCACAAGTGACGTTGTCACACCCAGGACACGGGCAGCTCCACAGAGGTGCTGGGAATGGGGAAAGGGGACATGCTCAGTTCACATCTYCTCCTCCTCTAGGGCTGGGCTGGGAGGAATCCACTTAGGAACATTTGATTGAGTGTTCTCCAAACCAATGAGTCTGTTGGGTGAAATTCCCTCTCCTGCACAGTTTCTCAGATGGAATTTCTTTCTCTCTGGGATTGCTACAAAAACTGAGCAAGAACCTTGTCGATAATCTTAGCCTCACACTTCTRAAGTTTCCTTGCAATGAATGTGGATCAAAATGTTTATCAGCCTATCATCTTCTCCACCATGAAAGCATTCAGTAAAATCAGTGTGTTTGAGTTAACACTTTGGGTCAGCAGATATGTTGTATTATAAATGGTGGTGACTTCCTTATTATAATAAAAACCCATCCCTTGCTGACGGGCCATTTGCAAAAAGAGAAAGAAGGGTTAAAATGTCTGCAATGGTTAATTCAACCGTTACTCAGTTTTAGTACTAATTCTCACAAAGCACAACTAAAAGTGCAAGTCCATTTAACTTTATCCTTTACAGAATGATTCATGGCCTGGATTTAACTACATCAGTTATTGCCTAAATTATAAACTATCTTTTTTTGATATAAACCATAGATTAAACTGTGTTATTCCTGCTAATAGTTGTTAATCAAGATGAAACACATTGTGAGTAACACTTTTTTATAAAAGAAATATAACGAAGTTATATCAACATGAATAAATGTGGGTRTTGAACTGCTACTCCAGGCTTATTGATGTGGACTAATATAGTAGMTGGTACATGGCTTGTGATCCTCAAAGAGCAACTTTAGCTTGTTCAGACAATGGACTTTGAAATAATGAGATTGTTTTAAAGGGAATCAGCCTGTTCAGGCCTTTGCCTCTTTTGGATAATGGTGCATGATCATATGCAGTAGGCACAAAATTACTCCAACAAATTCAATTGGCCAATTTTTTTTCTTCAGCAGGGAGAAAATAYTTATCTTTGATAGGAGCCCCTCTTTGTTCATTAATATATCTCTCCAGCAGTACAGGAAGAATCATGAAGGGCCAGTGGGTAYTTCAGGAAGACATTCTTAGGAGTGGATGTTAACAATCTCCGTATAAAGCTGCACACAGAGAACCAGCATTTCATGCCATTAATGCAGGTACATTAAAAATTGTTAAAAGGCCTTTTTTTTTCTTCCAACCATTGCTTTTTATTTTTACATATCAACAGCCATTGACGCTTAAATATGACAAAAGGGTTTCATGATACATTTAACACTGCAGAGTTTAAATCCCAGTCCAAAACTGTGTGTGTTTTGGATAAACCTAATGTTACAGTGAACAGGATCAGGAGATTGGTGGGGATGCAYGATGAAGAAACATTTTTATAAGCTGTGGTGGCACTTAGTGCTGGTGTCCATGCATTGTCTTTTACCTGCACCCTGAATATGTTTCTTTTTGAAGGAACTTGCACAAGGAGCAGAAAGAAGAGCAGTGTGGGATTGCAAGGCAAAAGCAGGACTGTAGGTCTGAGGTGCAGGGGAGGGCACAATTCAAGGAACAGAGCTTGGGTCGCCACCTCGGGGAACAGAGATCACCAGTCATTGTCCTCTGTGTCCAATAATTTTTGCTCCCACAAAGTGTTCAAGATGAGATCCAGGTGTCTGCTCACAGGCCTCAGGCTGCCATGGCTGCTCCTCAGCTGCCTCTTCCCAAAGCGCCCGATGGGGCGAACACCACGGCCCACGTACCAAAAAGGGTCAATCTCAGGACCTGCAATTCAAAGCAGTCAGTGAGGATGCACCACTGCACTTGGRTGCAGCATTTCCTGAACATCTCGAGGATGTTACACAGATTAACTTGTAGGCCAGGAGAAAAAAAAAAAAACAGGGAAAGGCCACAGCCAGACATCCATCTACTGGTGCCTTTGGTGCCTGGTGTAAAACCCAAAGGAAGAGGATTCAGATGCAAAATTCATTTTCATCCATCTTGGCTGCAATCTGCATTTCTAACACAAGCCAAAGGATCCATCAGAGTTTTCTGCAGCATGGACCAGATACATTATTTCYACAGGCTAATAAATCTACTGAATTGCAGAGGGGATTCCTGCATGGGGAGTACACATGRAAAGTTAATTCTTGTTCACTCAGGAAGTAGTTTGCATAGATGACTAGTTTTTTGGTTTTTTTTTTTCTTTTAAAGCTTTGACACAACTTATTTTTGTGGTCTTGTGCAGTTTTGGAGCAGGTGTGGAGATGGGTATAGTTGTATTAAAAGACAATAATATTAAAAAGATAATTTTAAAAGTATTAAAGACTATATATTAAAAGATACAGCAGCAGGGAAATTCTAAAACACGCTGGAGATGATGCTACCCTGAGGAAATGCCAAATAGTTCCAGAGCTGGACAACTGTCAGAAACAGGAATAAATTACAATTTCAGCACATTATATATCAACCCAGTCACATGAAAGTCTCAATCGAGGCAAGAGGATTTTCCCCTGTGCATTTTGATGCTTGAACACACAAAAAAAATTCACTTTGTCATTAAATTTCTCCATAAATACATTTTTTAAGTCTTTCAACACAGTGTTTTAACAGCCTTCCTACTCAATAAAACCCAAGTAACTTCCTTTTTTTCACCTGTGTACCTAAAACCTGAGGTTTCCAACATCTCTGTCCTCTTTAATGGGGAAAGGTGTGGCACTGAGCCCATGCACCTCAATCTCCATAACCCCTCTCTCCCACCCCACCTACAATTATCAGCCTATGCTCCTTGAGGGAAGAGGAGATATCTTGRTAAGATTTTCTCAGAAATCTTGTTGACTGTGTGCTTGTTTTAACGTGATACATTTCCCTCACCTGAGCAGCCTAATTTCCTTGCAGCATCTCTGAATGGAGATATTTTAACCACTTGTATTTGGACTTTCAGACAAATCATGGTCCCAGACAGAATTGATGATGTCTGTAAAATGAAGTTAAGCTTCTAGCCCTTGCTTTCTTGTTATTATATAGAAGTAGTTGTGTAGGTCTAGAGAACTGAAAATTGTGTAGYTGTGTWGGTCTACAGCTGAAAATTTAGTACTTAAATATTTGATGTCTACCACTGTACATTTTCTCATCTACGCTTTGCACATTAGTGTCTTCTCTGATATTTATGMAAAATAATGCTATTTGCCTTGGCTGATTAAGGGCTGTGAGAAGGAYATGAGGATCTGTATATGCACTGACAARTGCAAATGGAAACACAGGGCCTCACACCAACACTTCACCATAGAAACACCAACATGATTTCCTGTTGAATTGGCCTGACAGCCCAGCCCTGATCCCTCAGTGCAGCAGAGACTGTGGGGTCATCATGTCAGGTGAGATTCATACTTACTTCTGTTGTCTATCTGATGTTTAAATGGCCTGCTCTGTCCTGCAGCAAAGCTGAGTGATACCAGGAGCAAGAGCACGTAGAAAGTGACCAGCTTTAGGTGGTTTGGTGACCACTGGGCACGTGGTGTCCAGAAGACTGGATGACACATGATGGAGCAGTGGTGGGAAGGCTGCAAGGAGAAGAGTGAACATGGGTTAATGAGTTTAAGGTCTCGAGATGAAGGAATGTACCAACTGTAATGGTGTGTTCCTATCCATCAGAGCCATTTCATGGCTCTAAATTCTGTGGAACACTGATGCTGGGGATGTCCTGGKCATTTCTGTTTGAAGGCAAAGGCTATGTATTGGGCTATCTAGTGAGGTAAAAACTGGAGAGTTTTTCTCTCCAGCAGTGAAAGCCTTCACAGGACAGTTGAGTTTTGAGCTCACTGTTGATTCTGTATAGCTCTCTGTATGGCCACGGGCCACTGGAGTGTGTTTTAGCCACTCCCATCAGCATCCTTTCCTTGCTTGTAAAATGTGTGTAACATTTGCAGTTTACAGACTCATTTTACAACTAAATGCATTTCAGTATGAATGGGAATGCTCCTCCTGTGTCATCGCACCCTTTTTTTGCCAGCGTAGAAAATTACAATTTCCAGTTAACAGTTTCCACTGGTAGATGACCTAGTCCTTTAAGTGCACCCAGATGCAGCAGAATGAGAAATCCCTCCGAGCTCTCACTGGTTGGGCTGGGCAGAACAGAAAGTGCTGAGCTGGGMAAATTGCTTCCAGGAAGGGGAGGGAGGCTCTGGTTACCACTATCTCTGGCATTTTGTACAAGCTTCCTCACAGCAGCTCTCCCAGCTGTGAGTCTTGCTATGACAGTCTGTCTTGTAGCATGCAAAGTCTGCCTGTGCATTTCACATCCTGGAGCCTCTGCCTATAAAGCAAAGACCTATTTGGTTAAGCATTATTTACAATATACAGGCACAGGGGCTGTAGGAAATCCTCTCGGCTGTGCCTGCACTGAGACTTCTCTTTGTGGGATTTCCCCCCCCTGCTGCCAAAATCTTAGCCTGCTTTCAGTACAGGCAGAGCAGGAATGCAAGATGCTCCCAAAGACACCAAACAGGCAGCACAGCAAAAACACGTSAAGAAGCCGGTTGTGTCTTTCATTTAAATGCAGTCAAAACCTCCTTCACCCCCCGTATTCAGTGAAGGTTTCTCAAGGGCTTTCTCCCACACTGAGAGGTGCTTACCAGGCAGCTTAGAGGAAAGTGATTTTAAACTCATGATTTCAGAATTGCAAATTAAGTTTTTCTAACTTGAATATCTCATGACAATCTGAACTAAATTAYCTTAGCATGTAGAACCACATGGGGTGAATTCTGCCTTCAGTTTTGGCTGGGGTACCTCCCCTATTGTTCCATTTTTAGCAAAACCTTAGGTTCAGTAAGACAAAAAGGTGTTTTAAGGCATCTCTCTGGTGTGTTTACAGGGCTGTTACAGRTTTTGCTGGTYTTGTGTCTGCTTTTTTYGGGGGGAGGGGAACTGAGTTACAGAAAGTAAAAGCTTGTCTTGAGCTCATTGTTCGTGAAAGACAAAAATACCGGAAAAAGCTTTTAGCACACACTTTTTCCTAAGCACTGCTGTGTCTCAGTYCCMACCWGCTGGACCTGTGCCTGAATCAGCCAYTGCAGCSTCCTTCTTCAGCACTGATATTTATTGAACTTTTTGTTCATATCCTTATCCTGGCTAGGGTTTCTGTGAAATGCATCGCTCCCACCGCTCCTCAGTAAGTAGCATGCCACCCTTAAATAATCAGGGGGCTCAGCATCTCAAATCCTCCCTAATTTTTCCTTCACCTAATTGTCCCACCACTGTTTATATGGGAAGAAACAGGAGTATGAGGTAGTGCCACAAACTTGACCCATAGCATTTCTAATACATTTAGCATTTCCATCTTTTCACTAAGCAAAAAGCCTGATTATCCACAGTCCTTTCAAGAGTTGTGTGGCTAAGAGATGGTCTGTGATCTCAGGTCCATACCTGCAGCTTTCTTTCAAAAGGAAAATGGAAAAAAAMCAAGACCTCAGTCAAGCAGTGTGCCTCCATTTTCAACCATGAAATCATCACCATTAAATAATTTAAAATTTTTAAAACTGGTTAGTTGTAACAAAACTTGACACAATTAAAAGTTACAGGCATTATTTTGCTCTGGAGCTCAGAAAAATTCAGAGTCACTGTCATTTTATCAACTTGCCACATCTGCTTGGTGCCAAACAGTCTTTAAATTCAGGCTGAGCAACATCTGTGACAGCAGCCTGGCAACTTTCATCAACATCAGAGCCGGATGTTCAAGCTACAAATGGAGTTACAGTGAAGCAGCAGTATCACAGCTTGCCATGGGTCAGCCTCACGAGGAGTCGGAGACCAGCCTGCCTTTCCCTCTGGGGGGCTCTTACACCAGACTCAAAGTCTGCTGCAGATCCATCAGATAAAACCTCGGAAGACAAGGTGCTACTAACACTTTACACCCTCAGCCAGCATCTTCCTTGAGATCAGCGGCTGTGCACACCCCCTCTTATGCAAAGGTGCAAAGTTTTCCAGTTTGAGAGCAGCGCTGGAAGCACCCGGGAGGGCTCAGCCCCCGGGTGAGTGCAGCTCTAGGAGCAGGCTCGTTTCAGGGCCGAGTGCTGGAGAGACACAGGGCTGTGCTGCTGATCCTGCTTGTGCTCTCCCTGCAGGGCACCGCACTGCCCGCGGGGTCACCCACCCTGCCTCGGCACGGTCTGCTTCACTGACAAAAACTGAGCAAAAGTCTGGACAACAGTCACTGAGCACAGCTGTGTGTGTTAATGTAGGTAAGCTACAGCTCAAAAAGAAAAAAAGGAAATCCAGCAAAAAAGAACCTGGACAAACCCTGAAGCAGATAGGGGGAGGCACTCACCTGTGTGCACCAAAGCTGCTTCTCAGGTAGTAGCTGCTCCAAGCAGTAGCAGGGCAGCTGAGGGGGCATGTGCCTTTTATACTGGATGGAAGTGGACTTGCAGCAGGGAGGGGGAGTCAAGAGGTGGGCCAGCAGGACGTCAGCAGCACTAGTAGCAGGATTTAAATTTACAAAAGGAGGGGTAGGGGAACGGAGGCTCTATCATAAAGCCATCGATGGGGGCCGGGAGCAGCAGTTGAGGGCGGTGCCAGGTGATTGTAGGGGAGCACAGCAGGACACATGGCTGAGACCCCCAGGGCCACCAGGAAGAGAGGAGAGGGAAGGGAGCTGCCACCATGTGCCTATGGATGAGGGGGCACAGACAAACAGAAGCAGCTACCCTCTCTGCAAAGGAGAGCCACGCTCTCTGTGCTGCCCAGCTGAGACGCTCTGTCTGACGAGCACATCCGCAGGGGGAAACACTCGTGGCTGAGAGTGAGTTGTGGGGAGAAAGAGCAGATGGACAGTGGGGAACTCTCAGAGACAGCARGCAGGAACAGTTTGTCCACACACTCCTGCCCCAGCCCTCGATCCTCCTGCTGTTGTCCCATCTTTGCTTTCTGCTYAGGATCTTACTTGATGGCAGCTCTTGCTTCATTAAGCCCTGACCCACAGCTGGGATCAAGCCACCCATGCATAAGGTTTAAGTCATACTGTAACACAGCACCCAAGTAGCCAATGAAATCAGTAGTGATTCAGTGCTTAAGCAGGCCMTTACCAGTTTTGTGGCAGAGAAAATTTTATCTACATGAGGCAAACATCTCGACCAATATTGTATTTCCACAACAGGTATCTCTTCCTGAGCAGTTATTTTTAACTCTGTCTCTTGACTAATGTCACCGCGGCCTTGCTGTACAGATCTCGCTGCTTTAGAAGCTCTGACCCTGTTTACCCTGGAGGTTTGCAGGGGAGCAGCAGCTGAACTGGCGGGTGTTTCACTCCTTGAGAACCATCCTGCAGAGAGGCTGAGATGTGAAGTGATACTGGGCTGCCTGGGAGCTGCAGGCTCTTTCTTCACAGACACATGATCGTGCTCYGCTCCTGGTGAGGTACCTGAAGGAACAATTTTTGAGGCTGTGCTTTGAAAGGGGTATCTGAGGCCTGACCCCATCCATAAACTGATTGCATAGGAAATGCTGAAATCCCTCTAGATGAAAAGGAAGTTCAGTAGCAAACCTGTTCAATTTTGGTATAAAGATGCCTCCAGCTGGGAAAGCTTCAAAGCACAAATAATGCTATTTCACTCGGGCACCTCTCAAAATAAATGAAATTGTTTTATTTCCCAGGGGCAATTTGTGGGGTAGTTCTGTGAGGAAGTATGGTGAAATGTTGCCTGACCGTGCCCCAACTCACCATYCAAGCATCAAGTACCACTGTGAGAGTATGGTCATGAATCGCATTTCTGTGTAATAGCTTGTTTTATGGGTATATGTGTGAACAAAAATGGTAAAGAAGCCTGAGAAATACTCTTCCATTCTCCARTTTCCACCCAACAACAGCTAAGAGAAGTGTCTTCCTCATCTAAGTTTTCAAGAGTTTACTCAGACTACTCAGGATCACAACCGCAAAATATGAAGAGCACTTCATAGTCCACGGTAGCACAAAAGGTCTTTCTACAGCTATCCCAATCAATAATAGATATACATGCTTTTCTCAGAAACCTCCTTTTAGTGTGTTCCCTTTGAACCTCGCAAACACTCCCTACCTAAAAATCAATCTGCGTCCAAGAACCAGGCAGTGACTGTGCTTCTGCTGGGCTAATTTTGTGTGCATGTGTGCAGATGGTATCTTCTTCGTAAGTAAAACTCTTCATAGCTTCTCATCRTAGATATTTTCCTTTACTGCTTTTCACATTTATTTTTACCAGAAAATGTGGGTATCCTTTCATGATCTCTAGCAGGCAATTGCKGGAGTAAAGGTTTCTTTTCCCCAGGATATGCAGGATCCTTCCTTGTTTTGTTGTTTTGCTAGTGATCCTATCATCTTAAAACAGAAGCAAAAGGTTTTTTTCATTTACTTTTGTCAGTCTTGCTGGCACTGCAGTGTGAGCCCTTCCATAGCACAGATAATTTTTTTACCAATTGTCATCTACATGGAAGTTATCACATTATATTATGCAATGTCTTCTTGTTAACAATGCTTGCTTATTGGTAAAGACTGCTCGCAAAATATGCCATACAAAAATAAAACAAG